GTAATGGTTTACGACGTTGTTGTACATTTCAAACGCTGCGTCTTTGTAAGCGGGAACGATAAGGCACTCAACAGCGCAGACACCAGAGTCTCGTCAATCTACACGTCGCATGCCAATACATCATGGATGTTGTCATAGAAACACCCGATCTGGGTTTTTTTTTGTCTAAGCTGCTTTTGGTGAATTGTGGATTGTGTATTGAAAGTGCTAAAACCTCACACTGGCCGTCATATCTATTGATGGGAATTTGAGATGAAATAAACTAACCCTAAGAAACGGGACGGAAGCATAGAGATGGCTAGCAGATAATACAATGTGTGCACTGTTTCCAGTTCACCTCTCAAAGTGTGTTCATCAACATCCCCCACGCGCATTGCCCTGGGTACTCAATTCACAGGTTGAGTTCTATATTTTTTTTATTACAATCGATGTCATTTCAGAATTAAAAATGCGTTCTTTATTGACGTATCTTTTTATTCTTTTAACATAATCGTTTTTTTGTGGTCATAAATATCAGATTCCGTTACAAAGATCTAGCAATCGTGAACAACTATTCTAGAATTGTTTGCATGGTGTAATTTACTTACCATACTGGCACTGTTCGCCATGGTGTAACACACTTACCATACTGGCACTGTTCGCCATGGTGTAACACACTTACCATACTGGCACTGTTCGCCATGGTGTAACACACTTACCATACCAACACTGTTGGCCATGGTGTAACACACTTACCATACTGGCACTGTTCGCCATGGTGTAATTTAATTACCATACTGGCACTGTTTGCCATGGTGTAATTTACTTACCATACTAGCACTGTTTGCATGGTGTAATTTACTTACCATAATGACACTATTCGCCATGGTGTAATTTACTTACCATACTAGCACTGTTTGCATGGTGTAATACACTTACCATACTGGCACTGTTCGCCATGGTGTAATTTACTTACCATAGTGGCACTGTTTGCCATGGTGTAATTTACTTACTATACTAGCACTGATTGCCATGGTGTAATACACTCACCATACTGGCACTATTTGCCGTGGTGTAACACACTTACCGTACTGACACTGATTGCCATGGTGTAATACACTCACCATACTGGCACTGATTGCCAAGGTGTAATACATGTACACTTACCATACTGGCACTGATTGCTATGGTGTAATACACTTACCATACTGGCACTGATTGCCATGGTGTAATACACTCACCATACTGGCACTATTTGCCGTGGTGTAACACACTTACCATACTGGCACTGATTGTTATGGTGTAATACAATTACCATACTGGCACTGATTGCCATGGTGTAATACACTCACCATACTGGCACTATTTGCCGTGGTGTAACACACTTACCATACTAACACTGATTGCCATGGTGTAATACACTCACCATACTGGCACTGTTTGCCGTGGTGTAACACACCCACCATACTGGCACTGTTTGCCGTGGTGTAATACACTTACCATACTGACACTGATTGCCATGGTGTAATACACTCACCATACTGGCACTGTTTGCCGTGGTGTAATACACCCACCATACTGGCACTGTTTGCGGTGGTGTAATACACTTACCATACTGGCACTGATTGCCATGGTAGTCTTCCTTACATGCGCATATCTTGGTGCCAGTGATACACGTTCCTCCGTTCAGGCATCCACATGTGTTAACTGTAAAAAAATGGAACATACATCACTTTCAACTTTCACCTCAATCACGTTTCTGACTATTAAGTAAATTAAAAAAGGAGCTAGATTTTTGAAATGTCGGACTAGTTCCTAAATCAAGGGCTTTGATGGTTTCAGGTTCCCAGTCGGAAACGTAATTCTCGAGGGAAATTACAGAATATTTGTTCTTTGGATTTGTGCACTCACTATTACTTGGAATAATAGCTATTGCTCCATGTAGCACTATTTCCAGTTGATAACCCTCGGAATGTATATAATAACAGTACATTGGAGTTGTTACCGTTAAATATGGGTCAAGGCGGTTCAAGAACACAACGTAAAGAAAACACGTCGCGTCCACATCGGCTGCATAACCGTGACACGTTCCAGTCCCACTCTTACTATCCCGTGTACACGTTACGATGGCTCATTTGTAAAAACATTGTTAAATTGTCAGTGCATATGTCTTTCTACACGTTAATCAAAGTACGAGTACCTCTACAACATGTTAACTAAAAGCATGAGTTTTTTTCAAACAGCAGACACATCATTTATAGGTTGTGTACGTGCGAAGAAAAGTAGCAACGATCGCTTGACGAGAAAATTCAATTTAAGTAATGTGGAATCCGCTTGACAACAACCTCGCCTACACTAATATCTACTAGGCTAGACTATTCAAGTAAATATATCCCGTAGTTATGACAACGTAAATTTCTTCTAGTAACATTAATATGTACATAGGCCGTGGATGGAACTGGCGAAATCTAAAAAAATACATGCTGCGTCTTACATTGCGAACAATGATTTATTTATGAAATTAAATTTGTTTTGCGTAGACACCCCGCAAGCACTGCAGTCGGAGGGTTTTGCACTGGTAGCAGCAGAACAATAAACCACGCTAATTACTCCAAGGCAAGGCTTTGGTTGTGTATTACACTGCGTCTACTGAGAGTCGCTAAATCAATGACTTTTCGTCTCATTTACGATAATTGAATTTCTTTAAATCCCATTTATTAAGAAAGGCGGTTGACAATCAGTTTTATAATAAACTAACATTAAACGAAACTATTATTTTAAAGCGTGTGTCAACTCTGATTAATATTTTAAGAAAGATGCGCGACTCGTTGCCATGAATATTCTTCATCGTTTGTCTGTATATATTTCTAGACTTGTGGTCATACATCACTCATTGAGGACGTAATACAATTTGCGCGTATATATATATTTGTACATACGCTGTTTGTATACATTGCACGTCCCACCCGTCGTATTCTGATCATGAAGCATGGTTTCCACTGCTGTAATTAACATCACTATGATTTAACATTCGCATTCTACATGATAAATGCCTACATTAAAGTAATCACCCATGAGAAGATTTTTTTTTTATATTACAGTCTTTTTTTGTAATCACACCTTTGTCACAAATCCTTCTTTAGCTTTGGTTCCAACCCGACCACCGCAAGGCAGTGGTGTCACTAAATCAAAACAGACTGTTTTGACAGCCACGGGAATTAATGTCTCAACGAAAAGGATAAAAGTAAGTACTTATTTCTTGTGGCCGACCTCTGACCTTAGGATACGTACACTAGCCTATATTACCAAACCGGGGTCATTATGACGTGAGAGAAAAGTCAGTTTGTATATTATATAATAGTATATATTGTGAGCGTGATGAATATACTAATTAGCAGAGATTTTAATCACTAAAAGCAAAAAATAATTGCCGCTAATATGACGTATTATGTCTACAATGGATGCTGAAGCCCGAAACGCAGTAGATATAAGATTTCGTTTTTTATAGTTTATTTCATCCCAAAATGCATGTTATTTGCTGTGTTCAGTATTGGTTGATTTTTACTTTCAGGACGTGTAATTTTTGTTTCTTATATAGTACAGATATGCAATCGAAATCAGGGAGGATTAACATATTCTGCACCAAATTTCAATATTTGATAGTGGGACAAATGCACAATAAGTCTGACAAAATTTGTTGGATCACCGTTTTTTAAGTTGTCATAGAAAGGTTCGGTTACAATTTTCAAGTGTACGCCTAACGTCACAAGTTAGTGCGGTGACATCATCGAATTCTGAAAACGTACGCGTAAGCTGATCTGCGTGTTGTACGTGTAGATATCTGATCCCACGTAAGTTGTGTCCTACCTGGGTTCGAGGCGTGTAGGTTTCCCGGGGTAGATTCATATTTCATGTACCGGATTCACAACAGCAGTTTTTCTACTTCCTCCCTTTCATATTTATTATGAATTTGAAAGATTTTTTCTGTGTTTATGTAATTTACTGAACATCACCAAACCCAATCAACACATTGTATTTTGTAGTGTGGCTACAAAGTTGACGTCATTTTGCTAATTTTCTTGGTACAAAACAACGAAATGTAATTTTCATCTTCGTGATACTTCTGTCACTGAAAGTATTTTGATTCGATAGAAAATCTGGATATGTCCGTCTGCCCAAATCAAAAATTTACTTTAACGTATCCTATTCATTGCAAACCTTGAATTAAAACAATGTGCCATGGTTCCATCTAAAGTAGTTTAATTAGTATTGTAAACCGTTAAAAATCGTTATGCTAACTCGGCAATATTTGTCATTATGCACGATAATGCACAACTGCTCGATCTACAATTAACGTCGGTGTTAATGCGTAGCCGTACGATTTGTCACCACGGACGTCTACGTCAACGCGGATTTTGCGCGTACACGTGAAACGTGTAGAGAAACGTCTTTAATGTCGCGGCAAACCGCATCATCGTATTAGCATTTCCCACCTGACTCAAATTAAGCTAATGGAATTACGTTTTCAGACCTTAGAAAATGTCTAGTGATTTCTGGTCTCTTCAAATCCGGGAACACCAAATTTGCTGTTGTTGACTCCCCAGTAACATCTAACAAGCCACTTATTGCTTAACTCCATAAATTATAGGGAAAAAAATATGTTTGATAATTCAGAATATAATGGAAGTATCCCGTGTTATATCACCGATTTATGTGGAATAATACACGACAAACAACTTTTTATAAATGTTCGAAATCCATACAAGGCAAAAACACACGGGTAGACTAAGACAGCAACGTTCTTTTCACTAATAAAATAAAGTAAGAGAAATGGTTTCCTTGTTTGCTATTTTGTTTCAATACACCTGGGTTGAAAAGTTATGAATATTCAGATTTCTACTGGGAAATAAAAAACATATTCGTGATAATCTTATTATTATCGGAATAATATTATAAATTAATTTTTAATCTCTGATGTATTTTTTCTTCTCCAATTCCATAATGTGATTTCATGAATTATTTTATCACATTGAATAAATATCCCTCGTGATGAACGTTCACATTTGACTTTTTTTTGGTAATAGCGTCTGGAATTAGTAATTGGTTATGAGAATAGAACATAATGGCAAATTTCCTCTGAGGTCTCGTTGAGAGCGAGATTGTTGCGCGACTTGATTTGGTCTTTTGTTCTCTTCTGTTGCTATCGCGACCACTGCTCCAAAAATATCGTTACATGGGTCAGCAGAACAGTGACGCCGATGACGATAGAGAATGGAAGTTTGTCGGGGAAGGAGGGGGTCGAAAACAACTCGCGTTGTGCTCTTGCTCTCTACGAGAGCTCGGCGAAAATTTGCAAATACAGTTTAAACACCGACTTCAATTATGTAAGCTTGATTGAGACTTTTAGATTTTGATTAATTTGTAGTATGTCGAATGACTTCATATATTTTGTCGAATCAAATATTTTAGAACTCCAGATTTTGTACTATTACTATGTTTTGTTGTATGTTCGAGTTTAAGAATTCGATATTTTTAATTTTGTGAATAATTCGATTATATATATATATATATTATATAATGTGATAATCTAATGTAATTAAACATATGTATTAGAAGAGTTTTAATAACAAGAATGTCGCTGTTATACATTTATCAATGTAACTGTGTAACTATGGTTAATATTCGCCAAACCTTTTCATTGTTAAAGACAACTTGATGATGGTCATCGTACTGATCTGTCATTAAGTTGAAACGTCTTGTAAAACATCTTTTTAAAGGCCATTATGACTACATTTTGGTTTTATCACGTCTTTGCTACATTATTCATGGAATTTCTTCAGTTTACCTGTAGTGAGAAGGATGTAGAGTATCCATGTCAAAACGGTGCGACGTTACGGTGGACATACATTTTCCGTGTAATCGTATTACAAAAACACGAGAAGCACTGACCGTGTATTTATGAAAAAATTATTTTATTTCGGAGTATCCATCTCTATAATTCATCTATAATTTTTCACCAAGCGTATAGTATAACGCGATTTTATATGAAAAAAAAAGTTTGCTACCGACAGTTTGGACCAACAAGTTCGTACTGAAAGCTAATACATTTCTGTTGCTACGAAAACAGTTTTTTAATGTTTACCAAATCATCACTCTCACTACGTTCTTTCTAATTTGACCGTTGCCAAGCGACGCACACAATGCAAAGAATCTTTAGATATGTGCTCTCAAAGACCCATCACTAGGTACATATTTAAAATCAATTTCACTTAGTGGCATTCTATATTTCAGTAGAAATATTAAATGTGAATGTTTTGTTCAAAATTAAAAACCGAATGCACGTTTTTTCACAATCGAAATAGTAAGAGTAGTTTGATTGTTAATATAAATATAAGGCATTGGACATTGACATTCTGTTTGTCTTATATTGACTGACTATTCCGGGCGGCGAATTGATCTGTTCACAAGAATGAGAACGTAAGAATTACCAGCCAGCAAGAGAATTATTTTTGAAATACCGGTACTATTTTTTTAAGTGGTTCCTTAATTGGGAGAATTGCTACACTTTCAAGAGAACAATTTGAATATTCCATTAGCCGACAACTTGGAAACAATTTCCAGCAGAAATTACTTTTGAATGAGGCAATGTCGAGTTTAATTATACTCCATCAATTAGTTGCGTTCGTGCACAGCTCTTTACTACGGTC